AATATCAAATGAGTTTTATGCACAAGTTTCCGAATTATCTAATAAAAATTTAATAGAAAAAGGATTATTAATACATCTGGAAGGATGAAAAGTATCACTGCAAATATCTCAGGCAATGGCTTTGCAACTAAGGTTGTCACAAAGCAATTGTCAAAATATTACAAAACGTCTCCGTCGTTCTCAAAAAAAAGTTGAACAATTGCAAGAACAATTACAAGAAAATTCTGATTGTTTTGATAATTCTGACGATGATTCTGATGCGTAAGTAATTAAATAATTATTATTTTTTGATATTGTTTTTGAATACTAATAATTTACAAATTTTTACTATAGTGATGAAATTGAATTTGATGAAGAATCACAAACGGCTACTAATGATTTTGTTCAAAAGCTGATTCAAAAAGGAAAGTTGGGATCAACCATATTTATTAACACTACAGAATATCTTAGCTTAGTAGTTGCTCAACCATACTCGACTTGTAATAATTGTAAGATCGATAAGTGGAAATATAAAATCAAAACCAGTGAACTTTCAGTTAAAGTTAACACTATATGTAAGCAATGTCATACTGTTACTATATTTACAAATGAATCTACCGAAATAAATTTTTTGAGAGTTGTTGCAGGAGCTGGACTTTTAGGAGGTATTAATCGTGAAGAATGGAGAAATATGTTAGCTTTTTGTGTGATTACTAAATAAAGTGGTAAAAGGCAATATTTTGAATATCAAGATATTATGCTTAAAGATATTGTGCAAGCGGTACATCAAAGTGCAGATGAGGCTTTAACAGCAGCATTAAATTTTATAAAAAAACAGCCAGAAAAAAAGGAAGGATATATTTTGGAAGGCAGTTTTGATTGTGCATGGAGCCATGTACATGAAGCTTCACAAGCAAGTGGTGAACTAATATTCAATGGATTTTTAGAAGGATCTGTACATCGTCCAATAATTGCTTTTCATGTAGCTGAAAAATCTCGGGTTTATAAATGAAAATAAGAAACAATTGTAATCAATAAAGGCAATTATGATAGCAGTTCTCAACAAATGAAACATGCAATATTAATTGCAATAATTGATAAAATTACACCAATAATTGAAACAAATGATGTAATACTTGATATTGGAATCAATGGAGATTTAAATAGTAACAAAATACTTGCAACTCAAAAAATTGTATATACAAAATTTTTACTGATCTTAAACACAAAGCAAAACCCATAAGGAATAAATTAGGTAAAAATGTAATTTTATATTAAAATATTTATTATATAATTATAATTGTTAATCATATTTTTTTTTATAAAGCTTCTAATTCTAGATGGAAATCGTTAGAGCAACCAATCATTTCATTTTATAATAAATGCATTTATGGTGCTGTCACGAGATATCATAATCTAGAAATTAAAAGTCCTACAGATGAAAACCTTTTTTTATGCATACAGAAGGTGTTATTGCACATCTTTTTGACATTCATAATCAATGTTGGCCAGAAGTATGTTGATTTCATAATTCTCTGGATATGGTTTTGGCAGAACTTAATTTAAAAAGATACACAAAAAATCAAAAAAAGATCTGTTAGGATTTTTAAAATGTATTATGAATTTAAAAGGCAAAAGTTTAATTACTACGATTAGGACTAGCGTAAATGAAGCAGTTAATCGTATCAAATTAAATTATACTGATAAAAAAACTGATTATCCAAAATCATTTGCTGCTTGACATGTGCTTGCTGTTATACATAATAATAATGGAATTATTCAAGCATTTGAATTGGTTTGTAAAGTAGCACATTTGGCACCTTTTTCTGAACAATATTATTTAAATCTGTTACAATTATGCAAAGATAAAGAGGATAAATGTGAATATAATATTGTAAAGATTAATCAAAGAAATCAAGTACATGCACAAAAAATTTGCGAGCAAAAGAAAAAACTTGAAGGATTTGACTTTGATCAGGTAAGGTTAATTTTTTACAAGTTATATATATATTTTTT